CGCGGTGTTTTCTTTTTATTTATTTATTTATTTAAAAAAAATCCAGCGCGGTGTTTTTTTAAAAAATCATGAAATTATTTTCTGAAATATGAGTGGTGTTTTAAGTTATTTTATCTAAATTTTTAAATTCTCATTTTTGCTGTAGTTGATAGCTGATTTATTTAAAAATATTTTAAAATTTATTGTCTAACTACTTAAATCCTATCGTCACTCTTTTATTTATTTTTAATTATCTACACACAACCTTTATAACTATCTTTATTAAAAGTTAGGATCATCTCAACACACTAAATTTGTTAGATTTTTTTTGGGTCAATTATTATATTATATTATTTATTTAATTCGTAGAATGTTATATGAGGGCCTTAATATAATTTAGGTAAATTTCCTAGGTATTCGTTGAATGTTTAATGAGATACAACTTGTAATTTTTGTAAATTAATACACAAGTTTTAACAAAGTTGTATTTGCACTATTTGTTTTGTTTCTTTTTTTAATTTTCACTTTACAACAATTTCCTATGTAGGAAATTAAAACAAAAAGTCAAAGTTTGAGATATTATAATGTATATACTAAGCGGCTATATGATTGAAAAGATTATAAGTTTATTGCTCTGATTTATCTATATTTAATTTTAATGGTGTTTGATTTAAAATAAAATAAGTTGCTAATAGACAAAAACATATGATATTTACAATTTTAAAATTTAACTAAAGAACCCATCTCAAAATGTTCTCACTCAATGTTGAACATGATGAATTTAATAACTATTAAAATTTTGGGGGATTTGCATACATATTATGGTTGTTGCTCGTTCTAGTTGTAATCCCAAACTCTCAATCCTAAGGAAAAAGTTGAGAAAATTGAACAAGATCATGTTGGTGAAGGGCATCATCGAGATTAAAGTTGCGTGAAGGATCCACTATGACTAAGAAGATGCGAGGGAGTTGGGAGTGCTAGAGCTAGAAAAGCCGCAATGGGATCTCGCTGAAGGAAAGGCATTTCAAACCCATCATCTGTGAACAAGAAGAGAAATTTGTTGTAATGGTTTTGTGACTAAAAGATAGCACGAAGGGTATGGAAGGTGGTATTTTTTATCTTATTTATGAAATTGACTATTAAATGATTAAATATAAATTTTTTTATGGATAAATATATAAATAGGTTATTTTTAAGTATAATATTTATAAATTCCTTTTCTTTTCTTTGATGAGTGTAACATATGAGTTGTTTTATTCATCAAGTATTGTACAATCTTAAAATAAACTAAATAGATTAAAAAATATATATTATGATCAATTTTGCATGAAAATATTCTATCTAAATTCTTTTATGGCATTCCAAACCCATTCCTAATTCCTATCAAGATTTATCATTGGAAATAGATTCAATCAAGATATCCTAAATTTAACATAAGTATAAGTTCGCATTTTATATTTTTTTCTGTACGTAAAACAAAAATCAAAACAATAAAAAAATATATTTATAATTTTTTATGTAATATTTAAAATTATGCTCCGAATATTCCGTTGTATATTTATTCTATCTATATGATGTAGAAAAATAAAAAATAAAAAATAAATCTGTCTTCAGCGCATTAATAATAAAAGTAGTTGTAGTTAATGAATACTGCGCACTGAATAATTTAGTAAGAAAAAATAATTTAATTTGATTTTTTAAATAAAATTTGGCTCCGAAGATGTGATGAGTAACTAACTAATTCTGTAGGCAATATGGAGAGTTAATGAGGGTTGGTGGCACATAGCTTATCAATGGTCCATAATCCAAGCTGGATTTTCGTTATCACATAAAAAATAATCGGTTGAAGAAAGCAAGCTGTATTCAGAACAGGTGGCCAGTTGCAATTTTAGACTTCGACGATAGTAATTTTATTCTAATTATTTTGAGGATCCTAATTTATACAGGATAATCTCCAACATCTAATGTCTCCAATAATTTTTTTAAAGGGCTAATCATTTAATATTTATTGTTATTATATTGAATAAAGTTATACATTTATGCATTAGAATATTTGCGGCGATAGAGTGAGTGAATTTTCATCTTAGCAATATACGAATATCCAACACACAAATAGGTAATTGAAGAAATGGCAGAAAAAATCAGAAATTTTTACGTGGAAAGTCAAAAGAGGAAAAAATCATGGGGCCTCGCTAATGTGAAAAGATTCCACTAGATTTGACTGAGTTACAAAGTTTGACCCGTCTCTTAACTTAGAGACAACGATATTACAATAGTTTGGAGAGTGGGGAGAAAGTCCGACGAAAATCAAGTAGAAGTCTGATCAATAGCGGTCGGGTGGGGGCAGTAGTCCAATGATGGTTGGGCGGGAGTTCGGCGACGATCATTAGCGGGTGGAAGTCTGTTGACGGTTTGCAAATGGACAATGGTCAAACCATGGTCGGACTGGAGTCCGACGGTAGTTCTCGACCCCTCCCAGACTCCCGCCCAAATATTGTAGAATCATAGCCCAGCCGCCGACCATTATCGCCGTTGAATACGGTCCGTTCGACCTCCGTTACCTACAGACTATGGTCCCTTTGACCTCCGTCACCCGACGACTGTGGTCCCTCTGACCTCCGTCGCCTACCGACTACAGTCCCTTCAACCACTGACACTGCGGACTATAGTTCCTCGGCCACCTTCGTTCGCTGATCGACTACGGCCCCTTCGTCTTTCGTTGCCCGCTAATTATGGTCCCTCCGACCTCCATCACCCACTGACCACAGTCCCTCTGACCACATACTCTTGCCAACCAAATGAACATGATAGTGTTATCTTGAGAATAACTCATTTTATCATCGGATTCTTCTAACCCCAACTATGTAATGTGCTATATATGATACATTGAGTCAATGCTTTTCTCCTGTGGAAGGATACCAATTGTAATCAACTACATATACTAGTGAAATCATTTTAATTGGGCAAGAACCAGTGGTTAATTTTTCCCCCTTTCAGAATTTTCTAAGTAAAAATATTGGTGTCTCTTATGACTCTCGTATCCCTTTCTTTTTATTTGTATGTGTGCTGGATCTTCGTGCAAAGCTAAGACATTAAGCTCTTTTTCTCTCTACCTTGAGAATGTTCCAACATGCAATACAACTTAATAACCTATTTTACAATATATGCTCACTCAATAAAATTTTATATATATGTTATAAAAATTTATATATATGTTATTAATTTTTTTTTATTAAACTAATACTTATGTTTAAGATGAAATAAGATAATTATATGTTTATGTCTAATACAATTAAAATAATATAGATTTTAATAAATTGTTAAAAATTAATATTAATATTTTTGAAATACCAAAGTATTACTTCAGGAACAAAAAAAAAATTATCAGAAAAGGATTGAGAGTAATTTGAAGATCATCAATTTTTATACTCACTAATAAAAATTTATGACTCGTCCTCTGCATATTGACAAGGAGCCTTGAGCTTGGGTCAAGAGTTCCACTCAATTACTTGTTGAGCATTATAGTAAAAAATATTTTGTAAGTAATTAACATCCTAAATTATTTTTTACAAGAAGATTCAGAATTGATCTATTTATGTCATGCCATTAATAGTCCATCAAGTCCAAGAATTAATCATAATTAAACTTAATCTTCAGCTTAATCGAGTTCAATCAGATAATCTTTGTGCTTGAGCCATTTCCTGATACATTCAATCAACATTGAGTCATCATTGACTTAAGCTCAACCTGATCGAAATGAACACTTTAACAAATTAATGGAAGCTATTTCCGTTAATCGGTCTGATGTCTCTTATTCATTAACAATATGAAACATTGCAGATTCTAATATCTTGATCAAAATTTAATCCTGATGAATTTCAAAGATGTTGGATTTAATTTGAGATAAATATAATATATTACAAAGTAATTGATATTTATCAAGTGCTCATCTTAAAATTAATCAAGTAGCTTTTAAACTCTTTTCTAAAAAAAAGGGCAATAATTTTCTAAGATAATTTTTTTCCAGAACAAATTAAAAGATATTTTCACATCAAAGGTCTACATGGGGTCCTGGTTGGATACTCATTAGGTACCTGCGCAGCTCTGCGTGGGTGGGCGAATCCGTGGGCAAGTTTCGCCCACCCATGGTGACTTTCGTGATATACTACCCACCCATTTTGCATGCTTTTTGAATGCAGTATGCCACAGACTGATGGTCTTGAGGCTTATTAAGCTTTGCTCCGACTGCAATCTTTTAAGACGCATATTAGAATTTATCATGTTCGTAGCGCGGTTTAGTGCTGCGCACAACATAGTGAGGATTACGGTAATATACATCATATGGTGATCAGCAATGTAAATCGATTTATCCCCATGATGTAGAGTACCCACTCATACCCACCCACGAGGTCATAGGCGTACCCATACTGGGTATTTGTGTGGGTGTGAGTATGAGTACCATGAATGGCTCTGATTCACATATGTAAAGTTGAAAATGTATTATAGATGATTAATATTTATTTGATCTAATTAATTTGTTCATGTCTTGCGAATAAAAATATCAAAGGATTTGTTTATGCTAATAAAAAAAATTGTTATTCCTAGGCGTCATGTCGGTTGTCGACTATGTCATTTAACTTTTGAAAGCATGGAAGCAACGAATAAGAGAGTTACTGAAGCAGGCCTTCTACCACCAAACAGAAATTTCATTCTTTTATACAGAAAGTGTAAGTTGAAGAAACAGTCGGCTGTAAAAATGTTGAATTTGATCGAAATGAGGCCCAATTTCTCAACATAACCGATTCCAAACCTTTTAGATATTACGGCAGCATATGATCATCTCAGAATAGAATTCTTCATATATGAAATTTATATTTCAGCATCCAAATTTAAATAAAATAAAAAAGACAGCTTTTTTTTTTGGGGTAAAAGCCAAATCCGAACAGGAGCCACTGAGTCTTATTCTACGGCCTTTTATATCAGTGCATAGGTTAGCGAAAAGCTACTTTCCGAACAGGAAGCAGAGAGAGAGAGAGAGAGAGAGAGAGCTTTTCTTCTTCTTCTTTATATTCGTCTTCAAGGTTACAGGAGAGCTAGAAAGCGGCTACGTTTTAGCCCAAAGGTTGGCATATCTTCTTCTTGCTCTTTCTAGTCTCTTAGCCTTCTCAAATTCGGATTTTGATAAACACATCTGATTTGTGGTAGTTTGTTTCATGTGATGAAAATGAAGTAAATTATTCTTCCAAAGTTTGTTTTCCCCACTTAAACTCTTTTCCAAACAGAGATATCGAACAGTCTCTTATTCTCAGTCTGAAGTCTGCGTCTTGCTTATGGTTCTTTCTGATCTGCTTCTCTCTCTCTCTCTCTCTCTCTCTCTCTCTCGATCATTGGTTTTTGTTTACATATTTGCCATATTAAGCTATATCTTTGGAAAATAACACTTGAAAAAGATGTTTTGGAGCTAAATTTGATAAAAAAAAAGATGATTCCTTAAGGTTTTCTTTTTCGTGAGGAGTTGATGTTTTGAGCATTTACTCGTCCAGACTGGAAGTTCTTGCTGATTTCTTAAGTTTGGAGGAAGTTCTGCACCTGTTTTTTCGTGCAGAAAATATCGATCAAATTATTTTGCTGCAAAGCCAGAAAAGTTGACTAAAAATTTTATGGAAAAGCTTTATAGCTTCCAAAATTATATCCTCACGGGCCTCACCTGACACCAAATGTTCTGATCCAGAAAATTTTCTTTGTGCTACATCGCTAATTACCTTAACTATAAATTAACTCTGTTCTAATCATGTTTACGGTTCTTATAACATATTCTCCGATCGACACAGATGATAAATCACTCCATCACCATGGAATCACAGGCCGGAGAAGCCCGCTGGCTTTCAGACATTGTATGTTTTTGTCCTTTTTTTCTCTAAGTAGCTAATAGCTTCTTTGAAAAAAAAAAAATATCTGTTCTGTTTTTTTTTTTGGCGCAGGGAATGGCAGATCCTAACTACCAGCAATGGGAACTAAGCTCTCTAGACCAGCTCATATCTCCCAACATGTGGGACGATGACCTCCATCAAACCCTCTCTTCCGAAAGCCAATCTTTGAATCCAGCTGCGACCATTACGTCGAACACCTTTAGCAGCAGCTCATCCATTGACTCCTCTCATGCAGCCATGGCCGCCGACGAGAGATCGAAGAAGATGACAAAGACTAAGAGTTGGGACTCCTTCGCCACCCTGCAAAAGACTATTCTTCCTCCCACCGTTTCGTCGCCGAGCATCCTCTCTTTTGGTAGACCAGACTCCCCTAACGATAGCTCGGAGCTGTATAAGAACCTCGTTATGGCTACTGTGGAGGAAGGGAAAGGTAACAGCTTGAAGAGAGGTTATCAAACCATGGCTGCTGCGCCGGGAAAGAAGAAAGCAAGTGCTGCAGCTTCCAGGCCTTCTTCTCATAACCAAGAGCACATTATGGCTGAGAGGAAGCGCAGGGAGAAGCTTAGTCAGAGATTTATAGCTCTGTCAGCCATTGTTCCTGATCTTAAGAAGGTACTCAACTGACCCTCCTCCAGCTAGTGGAACTATGATGAGTACTAGCTTAGTCAAATAAAATTTATTTTGTCAATCAAATAATTTTAATCCTTCTTTCCATTTCAATTCTCAGCTAGCAGCTATTTTTCATGAATCGAACATCACAAATAATTATCATTATTTATGAATGAAGAAAATTAATGAGCTTTTGCAGATGGATAAGGCATCGGTGCTGGGTGACGCTATCAAGTATCTGAAGACATTACAGGAAAAAGTAAAGAGCCTTGAAGATCAGGCTGCGAAGACAACGGTGAAGTCAGCCATCCTAATAAAGAAGTCTCAGCTCAGTACCACTACTACCAACGACGACACCGACATCTCTTCCTCCGGCGAGAGCACAGCCGACTGCGTCGGCGGCTGCTGCCAGTCCCTGCCGGAGATAGAGGTGAAGCTATCGGACAAGACAGTTCTCATCAAAATCCACTGCGAGAGCAAGAAGGGAATTTTGGCTAGAGCTCTGTCGGAAATCGAAAAGCTCCAGCTTTGCGTCGTGGGCATAAACGCTTTGCCTTTCGCAGCTTCCTCTCTTGACATTACAGTGATGGCAAAGGTAATGATCCTTCAACAGTAGTCCCATACAAGATCAAGAATTAAAATAAATTCGATATTATTTGACAATCGTAGAGGAATATTCCACCATTCTAGCTCTTTGATTTTTCTCAGGTAGCTTACTCTTTCAAATCTTGCTAGTTTTTTTTCTTTTAATATTTTTATATTAAGAGCTGATTTGAACAGATTCGGCCTATCTGTAGAAGTCAACTCTCACAGCCGCGCTCTTGTCTTCTATTATATATTGAATTTGGTGAACAATCTTTGTTGCTTGATTGGTGAGTTGATATTAAACTATTTCAGGAAATGTAATTTGCAGATTGGGGAAGGTTTTTCGATGACAGCGATGGATCTGGTGAGGAATTTGAGTTCCGCTTTCAGTCAGTTCATGTGAAAGGAGTTGTAGCAATTTGAGTATGCAGAGGCTTTGTCCAGTTCTCTCCAGCCCTCCTTTTAAATTTCGGATAAAATTATTCTGATTAAATTTTAATTAGGAAAAAAATTATAATCATTAATTTATTTTTAGGTGAGTGTATTCTAAGTTTTTGATTAATTAGTCATGTAGTACACTCACTTTAAAATAAATTAATAATTATAAAAATTCTTTTAATAAATTTTTAATCAGAATATTTAAGCCAAATTTTATGTTCTTTTTTTTTTTGTCCCGCTAGTGTAATGGATCGAGTGGCCCTGCTCTTGTTTTCAAAAATAAATTGAGGTTAGAGATTAAAAGGGTGTTGTTTTTTCTTACCATTAGCCTTTGTGGTTGAAGCCTGAGTTAATGGTTGTGATAATCAGTTTGTAACCGAGGTTGTTGTTTTGCATAGAGGCACTCAATTAATCTCTTCATTACATATTTTGTCTCATTTTACGAGAATGCATGGTTACACAATCTATTTGATCATGTTGTTGGGAGCTTTTGTTATTAATCATTTGGTCTTGAGTTCAAGTCTCACTTATGTGATCCAGGGGCAAAACTAGCCATCATTTTCAGGGAGGACAAACTTATAAGTAACTGTTGCAGATATATCCGGGGTCCAAGGGAGCAGCGCCTCCTGACGGTGTTCAACCTTTATTTGGTTCACCGTTTCCTAACAATAACACCTCTACACAATATGTTTAATTATACTGGTGACAATTGCATAAATATCATAGTATTTTAAAATTTTAAGGGGGGATGGGGGGGCAATTGCCTAAAAATCATTTTTGTGTGGGAAGCTGCTTCTCATAAATAAAGTTAATTGCTAATATGGTATAGCTATAAGAAAATAGTTATTCGATTTTCTAAAAAAGGAATAGATTTAAAATATTCACAGCAGCTTTTAAAAAAGTTTAGGGTTCTAAAAAACTTACATCCCACTATTTGAAGCAAATACGAGAAGAGAATGTTTTTTTTTTTTGGGACATTTAGGCCATTTAAGGCAAACTCATACACACCACGCATACACAAAGACTCGAACCCAAGACCTCTTAGTTGAAGCATAAGCTCACAACCAACAGGCCAAGGTGAGTTGTGTTGAGAAGAGAATGTGATGTCGAAGAAAAATAATGCCTGCATTGGGAGGAGTCGTCATCACAGTTGTAAAGAAACTGGGCGCTTGTCGAGTTCTCAATTGAGAAGAGGAGACAAACGAGACTTATTATGCTATTCACACAAATGAAGAGGAGACGAATTGGATTGCAATAGGAAAATTAGGTTTTTCTTTCCTAATTTTTCTCGTGCACCGCTCAATCTAATTCCAACTGCTGAGATTTGATTTTAATTGAACCAAATGGCTTTTGAAAACAAGCACCGACAGGCAGGCCGAATAGTTTCCTCCAGTTCTCTGCAAGATGGGTTTTTTAATGAAACCAAACTGGTTAACTGACTGGCCGACCAGTACATAGTTCAACTGGTTGAATTGGCCGACCTGTCCAATTTTAAAATCACACAACTCTCCTTGGCCTATTGGTTGAGAGCTAAGGCTTTCAACTAAGAGGTCTAATGTTCAAGTCTATGTGTATGCGTTGTGTGTGTGAGTTTGCCTTAAATGGCCTAAATGTCCCAAAAAAAATACATTTTTTTTTTCTTTTCATACATGTGAAACCAATTTGTAAAAGCTCAACTTTATTATTGTTGGGTTGTTAGAGGTTAAACAAAATGAATATCCAAATAGTTATGGTCATATTTTGCTGCTATTTTTTATTATTACGTGACATCTATTCATAGAAAATATATGGCTGATGCAGTTTTTTTTTCCATGTGATATTTTATTATTTAAAAAGTATGACTCTGTATTTTTTTTTAAATCACTTTTATATTGTGCTTAATGATATATTGTCGTATTTAATTACATCTTTAATCATAAAATGAAAATTTAAAATATGACTAATTAAAATCACGAATTATCTCATGCTAGAGCGCTCATAAGGCTCCAAAAAATTCCAATTAAATAAATACTAGGATAATTTTAAAAAAGTATAAAAATATTTTGTTACACCTATAAAAAAAGCCACCTCTAATAATATCTAAATATCTAATCATATATATATATTTATTACTCAACATTTCACTAGTGCCTAAATCAAAATATAAATTAGAATCCAAATGATCAAATGAAAGAACAAATGTTATAGGCTAAATCTAAGAATAAAAACTAAGGATCTACCTAATACAATGAAACTCAAGGAAAATAAAACAGTAAAATAAAAAAATCAAGCAATTAAAAGACAAAAAAAGCTAAAAGAAGCAACAAGAAGATCCTCAATCCCAGACCAGAAGCTAAACTAACATTAGCCATCAACCTACATAAAAACCTTCAAAGATAACATGCAAAAGGAAAAGAAGAAAAGCAACCCAACAACCAACAAACCAAAAGTCACCAATAGAGACAACACAAGCAACCAAAATACCCACAAAATCACACCCACATAACAAGCACAATAGGAGAAAACAACACCCTTTTGCCACCTCCATGAGAAAAGGATTTATGAATGATATGCCCAACAAACAAAATATACACCTCATTAAACTCATCGATGGCACTACCCAAATATTCCCCAACACCCCTGCAAGGTCAAACAAACCCATCAAACCAATTAGAATGACCAACACAAATATCGTTCGATCGAATTTAAAGCCAATTGAGCTAACAAAGCTTCATTCAAATTAAAAGAAATAGGAAAATCAATAGAAGGCAAGTTTTGATCATTAACTATGCTAGGCAATCCAACAATATCAGCCGAAGTAAAGTCACCATAAAAAGAAACCAAACAATAAGAAGAATCAATAAAATGAACATTGTTAACATCACAAACGCTCATATTAACATCATCTAAATTAGCAAGACTACCCATAGTAATCTTCTCAACAAAAATAGGGGAATCAAGCTAAGAAATAGAAACATGAATAAAAGAAAAACATCATTAACACCACCCTAACAATCCTGTTGAGCAACACACGACAAAGTAATTAAGGGAGGGCACATTGATTCTCAAGCGAGTTAACCATAGGGAACATAAATTCATTATATGAAGATTCATTGTGAACACCATCCACCTGAACTAGTAAATCAGCCATACCCGACAGAATAGGCACATCAGAGGGACTAGAACAGGCAAAAGTCTGAAACAACCGTTTTGTCAACCATCATATCTGATTCATGATTATTTAAAGCTAAATCCCCAAATGTCACAACATAAATTATCATAGAGCCACCAACCGGCTGCACATAGATGTCAGCCTTCCTCAAATGAGGATGCAAATTAATACATTCAGAGTTTCTATGACCCATAGATTTGAAATGAGAGCTAAAACTAGGAAAACCTTCCAAACCCAGCTTTTGAACATACCCAAATTTATCAGGTCTAAGTCAAACCGAATCAAGATGAAGCTTAAAAATGTCCAATTCCACAAGAATACGTGCAACTGATGGTCTAGAACTCACAAAAGTAGCATTATCCATATAAAGCGCTACAAAAAGATGGATCCAAACCAAAAAGAATGTGAGGAGAGAGGAAGTTCAGGAAACACAATCCAGATCGGGACGATGGTAGATTCTTCCGATAAATAAAAAAAAGGGTCCATTTCATCAACTTCAAAAAACACCTAAAAAGCTAATATCTATGCGCAAAATCTCTACCATAGTTAAGATCATTAGCAAGCTTGATCAGAACATTCCGCATATAAACAAAAGTGACAGAAAAATCACCCAACAGTTTGGGATTGAAAAAAAAATTCTAATCAAATTTAGAACCGGCAGACGAAGTGAAAACTTCTCAACTAAAGTATAATCAAATGGCTTAGCAAGATGCAGAACTTCAGCCTCAGAGATCCATAACGTCGGCAAAGCTCTTAGCGTAGTCATCTTTAGATTAAAAAAATCCACCGAAGTATTAGATCCAACTAATACATCTTTGAAGGATTTAATAGGATTCTTACAAGCAAGAAAGCCAGGATCGCTATGCTTAATGAGTGATGCCAATAGAAAAGCCATGCAAAACCAAAAGAAAAACAAAGAGGAAACGAAGGGAAGCAGACTACAGGAAGATGGAAGAAAATCCAAGCAAAACCATAAGAAAACTAATGAAAAATACACGGAAACAAACCTAACAAAGGGGGAACATGCGAGAGCGAGAGAGGGGATAAGCATATAGTAAAATTTTTATATATGTTAACT